TTTAATTTTATAAATCTAAAAATTATAAATAAAATATCCAAATGTTCGTAAAAACTCAAATAATAATTCTAAAAGAATCATTATTGTAAAACAAACATAATTAAATTAATTTGATGGGAAATGAATCCATATGGTTTAGGAATTGAATCAAACATCATGGGACACTCCACCTTCAACTGTAAACTACGGACCACACTTGCTTTATCAGACCGACCCAGTGTTTCCCATGACCCATAGTCCAAGCAGGGGCTCATTAGTAGATCACCAAAGTCTGGCTGATGAGCCAAGGGGTCGCAATCTCAGTCTGTGGATTTCAAGTCCTCCCCTAGAGACAAGTCAATGTCACCTAAACTTGATGCGACCACAGCTCCTATGGTGCATAGAGGTATCCCTCGTACATGCATACGCTTCACCTTAAAAGGTGGATTTCTGGCTTTTCCGAACGATCTATCGATATGCATGCCGTGTGATGGCACATGGATGAGGTTTTGGCCCCCATCTCTGTAGGCCACCATCACATAAAAGGGTCACACAGTCTCTTGGCTCACTCATTTAAGCATGTTCTCCGACCTCATTAAGGGCTAACCTATGAACCCTCATTAGTTTGTTCTTCAAGCCCAGATAACATGGGTTTTTCTCAACCGATTGGCCTAGATCGTCATGCACAGTCCGATATCTGTAAACATCGTTTGCATGGTATGGTTCACAAGGGACCACACTTCCACTGAGTTCATGTTTCACTATATTATTTCATTTTACAAGCACTCAAAAGGCTTTTAAAGGCCACATAAACCCAACATTGACACCCATAATTCGTCTTGGGTACTTGATTGATCTTGTGTTTTTGAGCCTAGATCTGAAGTTTGCTATGAAGGGAATGCGCTATGATGTACCCCCCATACACTCATATCGCCCAGAAATTACCTATCTAATAATGGCCTTGATGGTGAAATTCCTGAACAAATGGGGTGGTTAAAAGAATCATCCATGTTGAACCTATCAAGAAACCATTTGGATGGACAAGTTCCACGAAGTATTGGGAACCTGACAACCCTTCAGTCTTTGGATCTCAGTCACAACCAACTATCAGGACAGATCCCTATGAGCCTCATTACAATAGACTCTTTGTGTTGGATAAATGTGTCTTTTAACAATCTTAGTGGGAAAATACCACCCTCTCCGCATTTTGACACACTTACATTGGATCCTTTTGTATTTGTTAGGAACCCATTCTTGTGTGGGGGATCAACAGTAAAGAATTGCAGCTCTCATCCTCAAGAGGAGGTTGAGTTTGGGGAGGAGAGAGAAGCAAAGTGGAGTAGGTGGGCTTAGTATGGCATGCTGTTTTTGAGTTAATTCATTGGCTTTTGGGGAGTTTTTGGGGTTTTGGCTCTCAAAGAAACATGGTGGGTTAAGTATTGGAATGCAATGGAGGAGCTGGTGGAAAGGATCATGAGTTGTTTTGGCCATCATTAGTAAAATGCTAAGGGAAAATATGCACAGAGGCCACTGTGAGTTTCACTATTGCGTTGTTCACTTCCTATGGTTTTAAACTTGTTTTGTAAGTGGTAATTAATTTTGGTAGTGCTTTGTTCGGTTAATTAACATGGACAGGCAATGTACTTTGTGCTACAACCCTCCACTGTACAGCAATCAAATAAAGTACTATATATCTTGCAATCTCCAACTGAAGTGATGAGTTACTAAAAATTTTTATGATTGTATGTTGATAGCTCTTTCTTTATCAATTTGGTTTTGGGGTTTTCAAAGTCTTTTGAGAGAGAGAGAGAGAGTAATCATGTTTTATTAGATGTAATGCTCACACTAGAAACAGACAGACTAACAAACCTTGTAGAAATCACAATAAAACAAAATAAACTAAGAGAATACTCAACGATGCTGGCCATGGAAGGGCTTATATCCTATTGGTACTATAGTATGCCTCTCTCTTTCTCTCTCTCAATATATATATATATATATATATATAGAAAGAGAGGGGATGAAATGCTATTTAAAAGTATTTTTGGATGTAAACTCCTTGACCAAGTGGCCAACCTTAAAAATAAATAAAAAAATAAAAATAACAATAAAATTATAAAAAAATAATGTTTTAAGATTCAATTGGGACTGTCCATTTTTCGGACAGTCACATCTAAGTGTTGAGGAACTTAAAATCTATTTTTCTTTTCTTTTGAAAAAAAAGGCTCTTCGTTAATTTTAAAGTGGATTTCAAAATTTTAAATTGAAAAAATCCTCCAAAGTATTGTCTAATATGTACAATATGCTACCATTATCATTATTAAAATTTCAAGTGATTTGAAGATGTGAAAGAATAACTAAATGAGCTATGAGAGATGCACAATTTAACAAACTACCCAAATGTTTGATTTGTTTTTTTTAAAGTATACCTATAAAAATATGCATGGTCTTGAGTTGGAATTAGGGCTAGCAATGGGTTGGGCGAGCATGGTCATTTTTTTTCAATTTTCTTCTTTAGTATTTTTCATTATTTCATTTAGCTTGGGCAGGCTAGGGATGGGACGAGCCTAACCCAAGGCCAGGGTCTCCTTGGTTCGATTCGGGCCAACGGGGCCTAGGCCAGCTCTATAGGCACTAGGGCTGGGCTAGAAGTAGGCCTGCCCAAGCCCATCCCATTACTGGCCCTACGTCGAGTAGTTGCGAATGAATTGAATGTTAAATAGTTTAACCCTCACATATATTTGGATAAATTTCTCTTAGCTACAATATGCTTTTTTTTTGCCAAAAGGTTATTTAAATTTTTTTAAGCAGCAACTTTACTTCTTTTTTTTTAAGGTTATGCCCAATTTTTCAATTGACTTGGCAGCTTAAAAACGTAAATAAAATTCAAACATGGAACATGATCTGAGGCCCAAATTTTATGTGACCCGTTGGGCTTACATTATTTCAGGTACACCGGCTCACTAACAACTGCAGTATTTTCCCAAATTTTATAACGTGAGGCCCAAATTTCGTGATACTTTCCTGGAAAAGATGGGGAGAGAGAGGGAGAGAATTTCCATCATATTTCCATAAAAGGAGGAGAGAGAGAGAGAGGAGCGCTCAGAATCTCTTGGTAAAGATGAGCATTCTTCTGGGGTTGAAGAAGTTGAAGAAAAACCAAAATAAAGGACACAAGAAGTTGCGGAAAATCACATCAAGAAACTGACCCACTTGCTCGCTTTAAGAACTGGATTTAGAAACAGGATAACATCGAAGAAGCGCAACACGTGGCTGCCGAATGGCTCTCGTCTGGACCGGGTTGAGTTGACTTGGACTTGGCCGGCTAACTCGGGCCCAGCGTGGGTTTGTCTAAGACCAACTCGGTTCTTCAAAACAGTGTAGGAGGACATGGGGCCAGAAGCAGTTCAACCACCTTGATCGGTATGCGGGCCGGTCTACCGGCCTAATTGGATAAGTAACAGGTAGTCAAAAAAGTGTTAATAATTATAAAAAAATCTAAAAAAATTTGAAAAGTATATTTAAAGCACGATTAAACAAAACATATCTAAATGAAGTTGAAAATTAATGAAGAAAATAGATTTTAAAGAATCGCATTACAAACAAAGGAGTATTAATAGCAAAAACAATTTCCAATCTTTATCAAAATGATAAAAAAACATTAAAAAAATGCATTACAAACAAAATCCCTTATTTTTTAGGTTTTTATATAATTTTTTTTTTTTTTTTTTTTAAATATCCAACTGATTCACCAAAACCAGAACCGGACAGTAGCCAATTTTAATCTATGGGTTGAAGAGGTTACTTCCCCATAATTTAGAATCCTAAAATTACTTCTACTCGGGGTGATATGCGAGTGAAGGACTAAATAGACAATATACTCCTGCGGGAGTATAATGCCAGCCACTCAGACGAGTAACAGATGGATTATAAGACAAAATTCAACTCCTATGAAAAGGACCATAACAATGAGATAACGTTAACTAAGTGTATCATATTTGAGTTAGTGCCAAAATAATGAACAGTAAGTCAAACTTCAACTCTTATGAAAAGGACCACACAGTACAGATGACTCATTTTATTCATGATGGTTGGGGAGGCTTCTTATGTGGCATTATATTACACACAGCCATTCCTTTTGTGCCTGGGAAAAATAAGGCCCTAAAACTGAATAAAGACCGACCATTTAATTTTTGATGGCCAGATCTAAGTGACGAAGAACTCAAGATCCTTTTTTTTTTAATTTCCCCTTTTTGTGTTTTTTTTAACATACATTTGAGGATTCTAAGGTGGATCTCAAAATTTCCAACTGAAAAGATCCTCCTAAAAAAGTCTTTTGCCTGAGACTAGATGTATAGTGTGCTCATGTGGGAGTATGTTATGTGCACTACTCTTAAATTGGTAGCTTCTATTGTACTTTCCATAAGTGTTTCTAAATTCGAGTTTTGAATTCTTTTCTAGCTCTGGTTGCTCAGACAACAAGAACACTTCTACCAGTAAGCATACATCATATCTTTTTTTCCATTTTCCGTATGTTCACTTGTTCAACACTTGACTTGCATATATTAAATGATCCTTGGAGGAATATGTCATGAAACTTGGATCTAACCCTCAGTTGCCTTTCTCCTAGTATTGTGTAGCTAAAACATGAATCCAATGCTTAGTGGTAGACAGAGTTCTCCAATCTAAATTCCTAAGCCTGTGGGGCATAAAACTCGAAAAAATCCAAACCCCATGTATAAGGAATTCCGAGAAAGAAAGCCTTCACAGTGAGTGTTTGTCTAAACAACCATGCAAATCCAACGCCCAACAACACTAGCTGTAGTCATAATACTACACTTCCTCTGTTGTTGGGCTTGCACCCCAAATGAAAGAAGGGCTCTACTAAGCCTCAAAGCTGGCCCAACAGATCATCGGGGTCGCTTAGCTTCATGGTAAGGAAATGGAGACTGTTGTACTTGGAAAGGAATCGGGTGTGCACAAAGATATAATTCCACCCATGTCACAGAATTTAATCTTAGAAACCCGAATCCGCAAATCCTTGTTCGTCGGACCAATGGTAAGCTTCTTGCCCTTACTGATGATACTTGGGACCTCAGTGGGAGCATCTCTCCTTTGCTTTTCTCTGGCCTCAAGTACCTGGAGTATCTTGATCTTAGTTGGAATAACTTTCACCAGTTTAAGATACCGGATCAGCTGGGAGACCTCCTTGGCCTTAAGTATCTGAATTTATCGAATGCTGGTTTTTCCGGTGCAATTCCAAACCGCCTGAGTAATTTATCTTCCTTGCACACACTAGATCTTTCTTGCGCTTTTTTTGTTGATGTAGGTCATCGATTTCAGTGAACTTGTCAACCTACAAGATAATTCATGATTATCCTTATTCTTATGTCTCTTCTGGCTTGCTCGAGTCATGGATTGTTTTGGTTGGAAAGGCTTACTGATCTTAGGTTTCTTGCACTGAATGGGGCTAATCTTTCCATTGCGTCATCTGCAAAGTGTAAAGACTGGGCTGTGCCCATATCACTTTTGTCGAAGCTCAAAGTACTGAGTCTTTCTAATTGTTCGATTTCAGGTCCAATTCCTATTAATCATCTCCTCAACATCGCATCTCTCTCATCTCTATATCTTGGTTTCAACTTGTTTTTCTCCACTATCCCACCTCGGCTTGTGAACCTCACTTTTCTATCAGATCTGGATATTAGCAATTCTCATGTTCGAGGTTCCATTCAACACCTTCCTCAAATACATATGCTCAATGCTGGTGGTAATCATGATCTGTCAATAGCTCTTCCTCACTTCTTTGATCATCCATGACCATTTTTGCAATTCCTTAGCCTTCAATTCTGCAATACTAGTGGGATTGTCAAACAATATGGGAAATATTTCTTCTCTAGTGGTACTATACTAGCAAACAACAACATTGAAGGACCCATGCCTCCATACCTGACAAACCTCTCAAACTTAGAGTACATAGACCTCTCCTTTAATAGCTTAACGGGAGTAATTCCTTCCTCTATTTCCCATATTGGGAACCTGCAAGCACTAAACTTATATCAGAATAGCCTTGAAGGCCAAATTCCCTAGACTATATGTGATCTGTCTTCTTTGCAAACATTAGTACTTACACACAACAAATTTAGTGGAAAATTCCTAGTTGCATGGGTAACCTCACAAGGCTAGAAGCCTTTGATGTCTCTCGCAACTCCTTAGAAGGTAATGTTTCTCTCCAATCTTTGTTCGTCAATTCTAGTCCTACACAAGTTGGGATGGCTTTTAATGGTTTAACAGTAAGCACAGATCATATGGAGATGCCAAAATCCTTTCAGCCAAGTAAGCAAAGTGTGTTGTGGTTATCTTCATGCAATCTACGAGGAAAAATTCCAGACTTCATCTCTCAATATGAAAAACATCCAAGTGTTGTTCTTGTCAAACAATAACCTGACTGGGAACATTCCTTCTTGGTTATGGCTACTTCCACGACTGTCCAGTTTGGACCTCTCGAACAATAATCTCTATGGAACCCTTCCACTTTCTTTCAGTCTTGCAATGCCATACATACCTTCAAATCTGAATCTTGCACATAATAGTTTCCATGGAAACCTTCCGCTGCCTCCCAATAACATAGAGGTTTTTGATCTATCTCACAATCAGTTTAGTGGTTCAATCCCTGTCCAAATGGGTGAGAAACTAATGAATGCCAAGTATGTCTCCTTTTCAGGAAACAAACTCACTGGAGCAATTCCCCACTCCCTTTGTTCTAAAAACAATGGTATCATGAACCTAGACTGGTTGCAGAACTTTTTGAGTGGCACCATACCTTCAACTTTTGGAAATTGCACCTCCCTCATTGCTTTAAACCTGGCAGAGAACAACTTAACAGGAGAGGTTCCTTTCGAACTTGGATATGCAAGGAAACTTAAAGCGCTTCGTTTGGGCAAGAATTACTTACATGGGTCATTCCCAAAAGTTATACAAGACCTAAAAGATTTGGAGTTTTTGGATTTGGGATACAGTTTTTTCAATGGGATTATCCCTCCTTTCATTGGTAATCTCTCAGAATTGCGTGTCCTCGTATTAACATCTAACCGTTTTAGTGGAAGTATTCCTACTGAGATAACCCAATTGCACGGGCTTCAGTTCATGGACTTATCAAACAATACACAGGAGGGACCCATTCCATCAAATCTCAAAAATTTTGAAGGCCTGATCAAACAAACACCTGCAATTCTTCTTGGGTACTTGATTGATCTTGTGCTTTTGAATATGGAACTGGAGTTTGCTATGAAAGGAATACATTATAATTTGACCTCTGTATACTCATATCGCACAGGAATTGACCTATCTAATAATGGGCTTGATGGTGTGATTCCTGAACAAATGGGGTCGTTAAAAGTATTATCCATGTTGAACCTCTCAAGAAACCATTTGGATGGGCAAATTTCAGAGAGTATTGGGAATCTGAGCCTTGGATCTTTGGACCTCAGCCACAACCAATTATCAGGACAGATCCCCTTGAGCCTCACTACAATAGACTCTTTGAGTTGGATAAATGTGTATTATAACAATCTTAGTGGGAAAATACCATCCTCTCCACATTTTGACACACTTGCATTGGCTCCTTTTGTATTTGCTGGGAACCCATTCTTGTGTGGGGGATCAACAGGAAAGAATTGCATTTCTGATCCTCAAGAGGAGGTTGAGGTTGAGGTTGGGGAGGAGAGAGAAGCAAAGTGGAGTAGGTAGGCTTGGTATGGCATGCTGTTTTCGAGTTATTTCATAGGCTTTTGGGGAGTTTTTGTGGTCTGGCTCTCAAAAAAACATGGAGGATTAAGTATTGGAAAGCAACAGGGGAGCTGGTGGAGAGGATCATGGATTGTTTTGGCCATCATTAGCAAAGATACCAAGGGACAATATGCACAGAGGCCACTGTGACTTTCACTATTGTGTTGTTCTATTTCTTTGGTTTTAAACATGTGTTGTAAGTGGTAGTTAATTTAGGTACTGCTTTGTTGGTTTGATTAACATGGACAAGCTATGGATTTTGTGCTATAGTCCTCTACTGTACAGCAATCAAATAAAGGATTATATGAATGTGTATAAGTGTGTGTGTGTGGTGTTGGGGGCAGGGGTGGGGGGGGCTAACTTTATTTAATTTAGGCTCAATTCATTGAAACTTGACAAAGACCACTTGGCTTTTAAATTTAAACACATGAAGGGAAGGACTTTCCATAATAGGGTGATATACAAGGTATAAATTCTGTTTCCTGAAGAATTAAAAAATATATTGAATGAGGGCATGAATGTATTCCATGAGTGCAGTAAAGGTTCAGTAGAAAAACTTACATTAACATCATTTCTCAGATTTCAAATGGGACAGTAGGATTTGTTAATCCTCCACTCAAAATTAGAAAGAAAAAATTAGAAGCAATCCAATGTGCTTTATACATATGTATACAAAAAAGAATCTACACTTCTATGGTGTCGAATATGGCAGATGCCTCTAGAGTCTAGATAAAACACGTGAGAGACTATGGTCATGATATTTGTTTAGAATAATCTATTAAGCTACACGGAAGATTTCAACCATTTAACATTCGATCCATGTTTTTTAATCAAGGAAAAATTACATGAATCCCCTTTTCAACAAATTTCTTGTCCATGGACCCACCAATAGTTTTTTATTCACCTTATAAACATTGTTACTGTTTTCTTTTGCATTGCCTCCTGGGTGAGTTTCTTGATGTCATTTTGGACGAAAATACCCATTTCAATAATGAACAAATAAATCTAAGTGTAAGGCCAGTTAGACTTTTGGAAGGTAAGACCATCGTCGACTCCAAGAACTTTCCCCTAGGTTGCCTTAAACTTAAAATTTTGTGTTTGATTGAGAGGAGCATTTTCATATGAAATGATCAAAGAAAATTCATACCTGCCCAGGGGTGGGATGTGTCTACGTATAACGGTAAAGGTTGTGGGGTTTATGTAATATTTCTTAAATCTGATTTCAAGTCATCAATTGTCAAATATTAAATAGCCCATCAAATGATGCATCAAAATCAGTTTTAAAGTTTATCAAATTAAACCGGGGGGTTGGAATGTTAAATAGGTCAACATTTATGCCCAGTTTGGATGTCAAAAAAAACAAATACTCACACATCGAAAAAAAATGTAATTTTTTTCCTTTAGAAACATTATCTTTTTATTTTATTATGCTGGTAGACTGTTTGGATGTCTATAAACAAAAAAGAAGTTCAATATTATTAATAGAGAGAGTAAATATTATTATAAACAAAAAAATAGCAGCAGGGAGAAGTTCAATATTATCAATAGAGAGAGTAAATATTATTATTAGAGAGAAAAAGTTGATAGATGGATAAAAGAGGTGACATGTCCTTTACAAACCTTCCTATGCAAATGCTTTGAGGTTGTAAAACATCTCCATCTGTATACTCAAAAAACCATTCCTAGAGATATCGAAAGACTCAAAAAATCACAGTTTCTATAGATATGGAGCAAAACCCTGAATTTTTAGAGAGAGTAAGAGAAGGGAATCTAACAGTACAACTGCTTAGCAACCGTATGAAATGGTAGGGTGAGCTTTGTGAAATGGCTTTCTAGAGAGAAAGATGGAAATGTTCATGTTTAGAGAGAGAAAAAGTCGAGCTAGTACCGGTAAGGAGAACTCTGTGAAATAGCTCTGTGAAATGCTCTATGAAATTAGGGTGCGGCTTTCTAGAAAGAGAAAGATAAAAAGGTTCAATTTTTAGAGAGAGAAAAAGTCGAACTCGATAGATAGGATCTGCATAGTTGAAGATGAGAGAAGAGAAGCTGCTTGAGAGTGGGAGAAAGGCTTTTTTAAGTGTGACTTAGAGTGAGAAGGAGAAGCTGCTTGAAAGTGGGAGAGGCTTTTTTTTTAAGTGTGACTTAGAGCTGGAAGGAGAAGCTGCTTGAAAGTGGGAGAAGGGCTTTTTTAAGTGGGAAGCGACTTAGAATGGGAAGGTGCGCGAAGATGGAAGAAAAAAAAAAATTGAGCCCTCAACTTTTTCTCGCTGACATTTTTTGGGCAAATTTGGCTTAGCGTTTTTGTTGGGGAATAAAATAGGTTATCCAAACGGTTCTCAATTGCTATCTCAATTTCTTTTCTTTTTTTTTTCTTATCGTTTGAAAATAATATTGCAATTTTGATTGCATCCAAACTGGCCCTTAAGCATATTTTGATAAATATCCTTTATTTTTAACAATGTGCAGCGATTGAAGAAAGTTTCCGGGAAACAATTTGTGATTTGGTTAGCCGATATGAGGCGTTTTATCAATAAGTATTACAGAGAAATTTCAGTATCAAGTTTGGATTCACGGGGGCAGCTTTATTTTTCTTTGCCCCATTTCTATAGCCAAAAGATTTATATGCTATCGAACATATCCTAGATTTACCCCTACGATAGATTGCTATTTAAAATTATAATATCTTAATTTCTAGTAAATCAGGCTTGGACATTTCAAAATCTGGGAGAAAGAATCAGAATTTTCTATAAAAGAATAAATTCCATTCGAACATCGAATTTTCATGCCCACCATTTATAAAACAAATAAGATCTAATTAGTACCCAGGAAACTTAGGAATTGGACTTAGGCTTGAGTGGTTAGCAATTGAGTTTTTTTTTTTTAGGTAATTCAGTGGGGATGATGAGTCTCTACTCGTTTTTTTAAATCGTTAATGGTTTTTTAATACGTTAGGTGAGAATAAAAACCTATATCTTAACTGGGACACAAATGGTGTTACACAACCCCATTCTCAATTAGGAATCGAGTTAGCAACGCTACATCTCAAATTTGACTCCTCTCACCAAAGCAAAATACTCGAGAAAGCTGTTGATTTATTGTTTGCTTACATAAGCTATAAGATCATCGATGGATGTCCATTTTAAAATGGCGAATTTTGGCTAAACAATCAAAATAATGTTGCGGTTTGGATGGAATTTAGTTTTAAGTGCAATCGTAATATGGATGTCAATTGCATCGTCATAAGTTCCATTACTTTTAGGCGTGTTGATTGGTGTAAGAGCCAGCCGCCAAAGTAGTCTCTTCTAAATAATTTCTCTAAATTAAGGGCATTTAACATTATTTTTAGAATTATTAGAAACAATAACTTCCAAAACAACATCATATTTCTCGATAACAAATATGAGAAGCGCTTTCCATGAAACAAATGCTCTTGTTGGTTGTTAGAGGTGGAAGATAGTTTTGGTTAATTGTTTTCAAGCACGCCTTGCTATGAGAGCTTAGCTGGGAAAGGGAGCGGGGTCGTGGAGGTAACACCGCTACACATCAGTCACCACGTTGTGGTTTCTATTCCCACAGACACCACCCTACTACCGCTTTAAAAAAACTAACTACTAAACTATTTGAAAAAACAGGTAAGTCTTCCGCACTGAATTACTCAAAAAAAGAAAGTTGCGTAGCTTATTTTTTTTAATGTATAGTTGAATCATCTCCCAAATTAATTGTAATAAAGCTTGGATGGTGATGATAGTGATGTTTAGTTGAATCATTTATATTATCTCATATCTCTCATTATATATTAACTTCGATCTCTTTCATTGGACATTAACTTCAATATCAATGAATCCCTTCAATTAACAATTTGATATATATATATATATATATATAGAGGGATTTTTTAAGTTAACAACCCCCAAAAACTATAAGTTCATGTTAAAATCCCTTATGGACCTCTTTTTTACCTATATTACCCTTATATTAAAAAAACCCAAAAGCCTATATAAAAGGGCATTTCTGAGTTTTTAGTTCAAAATTTAAAAAACAAATAAAAAAGGCATTTCTGAGCTTTTAGTTCAAAATTTAAAAAACAAATAAAAAAACGAGAGAATTCAAAGATTTTGGCCCATCCCCCCTCTCTTACATGTCTCTCTCCTTTCTCTATCTCATTGCCTTGCCCATCCTCTCTCCTCTAACTGTCACGCCTTTCCCTCGCCGATACTATGTCAATTGCCTAAGAAACATAAGAAAGTACCCAATAGAGATAGTATGGGGGAGGGCAAGGCGTAATGGTTAGAGACGCAGAGAGGATGGGGAAGGCAAGGAGGGAGGGAGGGAGAGAGAGAGAGGAGAGACGTATGAGAGAGAGGGGATGTGCCAAAATTCAAAATTCCATCGTTTTTGTATTTGTTTTTAAAATTTTGAATTAAAAGTCAGAAATGCCCTTTTATATAGGCTTTGAGTTCGTTTAATATGAGGGTAATGGGGGTAAAAAGAGATTCACAAAAGATTCTAACTAGAAAATCCCTATATGTACATATATGTGGATATATATATATACACATATATCTATATATATATATATATATATATAAGACATATCCACACACACACATACACACACATATATATATATATATATACATATATATATATATATATATATGAAAAATGTTGGGATTAGCCCACTAGTTCCTATGAACATATGAGTCTAACGGTCCAGATTGAATTTGGGCAGATCTAATGATCACATAATTTTGGTAGTGCTTGAATTCTATTTTTTTTTTCTACAAATCCAAATCACTTAAAATTTTAGGTGTACATTTTTTTCATGAAGGTGCACCTAATAAAAATATAAAAAAATTTATTCGTAAAAATAAAATAACCAAAATACCCCTAAAACTTTTTGGGGGATTTTGGTCAATTTATTTCATGTAAAATATTTATTTGATAATTTTTAACGATTC